GGAAATCACTATCATTTCGTGCTCGTTATACAATATTCTATTTCCGCTTTAGTGCGGTAAAGTAAATTTGTTATGTTTCTGGGGAGTATACTGACATTTGAATATTTAATAATAATAAATGTTTTTTTACGTTAACTTTTGGGTTTTTTCCGCACGCTAGTAGAAAAAATACTGTACCTACGTGCGTAAAGTGACTAAACGTCGTTCGGCCATCTACAATCGCGTGCGGAAAAACACAATTTCCGCACTTGGTAGGTAAACTACTATTGAAGGAATTAGGGGTCTTCTTTATTAGTATTTGGGATGACCTTGATTACCTATTTAGGACATTTTAAAGTTTTTCCTATTTTTGTTCCCCTCTACTTTTCAGGCTGATATCCGGATTTACAATCAATGCATTATTACGTCAAAAAGATAGTAACATTAGTCCCAAGAAATAGTAGTACGTGACCGGCTTGTTTGAAAAATAAATAACGTAATGATAGAGTAAATTGCCTGCAGATAAGTGATATCCTTTATCGGTTTTAATATAGTTGAGGTGGGGGTTTTCATATGTATGGGCAGTAATTAAATCTATATTTGTATGTAATTTTTGTTGATTATATGTGATAGTTGAAATCTGTTCTAATTTTAGCGATAATTTTATTTTCTCGAAATGGAGGGGATAAGGACAAGTTCGTAAAATTCTAATGAAGGAATTGATTATGTGTCCATATCGTCCATTTAAAATGAAATATAATACTTATCTAAACGGTAATTATTTATTGATGCTTCATTGTTGAAAAATTCGAATTGTTTTTTTTTCAGTTTTAGTTTTTGACATCACGGTTCAATTACATTATTTTCTCTTGATTATGTATTATATCATATAATTGGATTGTCTTCCTCCCATGATGAAAAACCCAAAAATTTTTGCATGACATTCATTCAAACATCATTCAATAGTAGATTCTACCAGTGGATATATTGGACAAATATTTCCGAAAGAAAAATAGCCTTCATTGCGAGTAATATACAGGGCGAAATTTTAAAAACATCCCACCCTCAATATCTTCCTTGGAGTGAATATTTATATACAGCGTGTCTCACTTTAAACGGCCCCCCCTCTATATCTCATTTATTAGTCAAGCGAATCTAACCAAATTTGGTGTGGTATGAATAACCATCAATATGATCAGTCTTACAGAGATGCACATTATTTTGGACAGTGCCGTGCGTTTTTATTGAACTAAAAAGGGGTCGATTTTTTATAAAATCATATTAGGCATTTTTTTACAGGAAATCTAACCTCATATTATTTTTTCTCATGCTTTCGAACCCCCATATGCAAAAAATCACCTTATTCCGAATTAACAGGATTGGCTTATTATTTTTCATTTTCAGTCTCGAATAAATAGTGACTTCAAATCAACTACGAATTTTGGAACGTTCAATGGCTCCTGTGGATGGAAAATCATGATTTGGAAGGAAAAACGAGTCATTGTTTTTTATGTTGAACTCACCGTTTCCGAGTAAATAATTATTACGTTCGCAAAAATTCTGTTTAGATGTGTCTGTTCTTCTGAAACCCTTATTCATAGGCATCTTATGAAAATCCACGTATGTGGGTTTGAAACCATGAAGAACAATATTATAATGTCAGTTTTCCTGCGAAAAAATGCCTAATATGATTTAATAAAAAAGTGACCCCTATTCATTCCAATAAAAATGCACGGCACTGTCTAAAATGATGTTTCTCTTTGAAGAACTGGTCATATTGATGATAATTCATACCGATACAAATTTGGTGAAGATCGCACGACTGATAGCTGAGATATAGAGGGGGGCCTTTTGAAATGAGACACGCTGTATATGCCTCAAGGTCAAGTATTGAATGGTAGAATTTAGAAATATACAGGGTGATTCACATAACAACCGACATAGGGCAGGGGCATGTAGGGGGTCCCAAAATATGGCAATTTAACGCAACTTACCTCTATACCAAGTTGCTTCCCTAAGGAGTTATAGGCATAGCACTAACAGCATGTCAACCTGCTCGTTAAAAGAAAACTTCCCGTTCATTTTAAAAACACTCAAACAACAATTACTCAATTGAACAACTCACTTGCCTCATTGTCAAGTTTGACGTTTATTTTCATAGCCAACTTTTGAATTTTCGATGATTTTAAATAACACACCTAGAGCGCGCGTTTTCAGTTATTCGAGTTTTTGATGAAAATGATGAGGTTTTTCGAAAAATTACTAGAGTAAGAAAAGTTTTAGAATTGAATTGCCCACAAAACAAAGCGAAGATTTTTGAAATCCATCAAGGGTTAACAAAATTAAGTTGAATATTAATGGTGAGCCACCCGGTATACCCCCTTTACAAATTTCAATTAAACTCTAGTTCCTGCCAAGTAACGCCCTAAATACATCCACAAAGTGTACCAAATTTGATTACTTTAAGTTCAAGAATAACGGAGATATTGATTTTTTTCAAAATTTATAACTTCACTTTCAAAGCCTTTATCTCCTTAGGGAAGCAACTTGATATAGAGGTAAGTTGCGTTAAATTGCCATATTTTGGGACCCCCTACATGCCCCTGCTCTATGTCGGTTCTTATGTGAATCACCCTGTATATTGAAATCTGGTCAGTGTAATACTGGAAATGAGATCTATCGATTTTGTTTTCAACAGTGCTCAAAATAATATGTACTACCCTGATGTAGGTCGATCAAAATGTTATGAAATGATATGGTTCAACGCCCTGTATCTCAATAAGGAACTGTTTCAGAGCATAATATGTTCATAGAAATAGATAATCATATTTCATCGAGTTTATCGATTGTGGGATTGTTGTTAGTCATCGAAAGTTGATCACCCTGTAAACTTATGTTTCAAAATTGGGCAAATCTACATATTATTCGATGAATTATGTTTATTTTATTAGTTATCTCGTATGTGATGTATTTATGTCCCCAGTACGACTAAGGATTTATATGTACATTTTAATGCTGTTGTATGTTTGAAATAAATAAACATCCGTAATTTTTCTGTTTGAACTATAAAATCATCATATTGATCTGAATTTGAGGAATTGACAAAAACGGTACCTACCTACTGTATTTTCTTATTATTTAAAGAAGTAGTTTATTTTCAGATATATCAATACCTACATGACATTTATGAATTTAAAAGATAAACGTGTACTTGTGTAAGTAAAGATTTTGTAATCAATCAAAGTAGGTTTAAGATATGTCATTATCCATATATTGATGAAAGGCAAATCTGAAGTGATCGTGTCTTCATAATATTTGATGAGGAAAGTTCTCCAATAATTGAATGAACAAATAACTAATCTAAATATTCAACGATTCACAATTATGTACCACAGAAAAAACTACTAATTCCACGCAGAAAAAATAGAATTGAATATGAAGACACCTCAGATGTATTATTATCCTATATATTCTGAAATTAAATTTCCATCTCAGGTAAACTTTTGTTCTCAATTTACTGAGTATTCAACAAATGTAATTTAATATTCTGCGTATTATCCAGAAAACTAGTTCTAATAAACAAAAATCAATTATTTTACGACCATTTGAAAGATGACTGTGGTGTTGTTTTTGTGATTCGGGTCTTGGATTGAAGAAAACTATATATTTCTTGAAAGCCAACGTTTCGTCAATTTATTTTGACATCTTCAGGGCACTGTAAGATTGTAACAACCTTTCATCTTACAGTGCCCTGAAGATATCAAAATAAAATATCGAAAGTTGGCTTTCAACGAATAAAGTTTTTGTTAATAATACTAATAATAATAATGAATTTTATTCAATAAGTATCTACACAATTATAGGTACATGATGTAGTACGATGCGTGATTGTTATACATCTAGTAATACTCATTGAAAAAGACTACATTCAATGTCATAAAGCAACCAATGATAATACAACCAAAGAAGTACTTATACCGGGTGTCCCAGTATACCTGTTCCAATAGATTATTTCAGCCATTTCGAAAGATGAAAATTTGAAAATTACATGATCTACTACAATTCTAATGGTTTGAAATTATTATTGAAGTCAAAATCAAGATTACAAAAATATCATAGCCTACTGCAATTCGTTTAAATTGAACTTTCAATTGTCGTTTTCTCCATCAAATCAAATTTAAAATACGAAGTGTGATACATCGTTGGAACAGTAATTTTGAGTAGAAACCAAAAATTGCAAAAAATATACAGGGTGCTATTTGAAATAAAAAAGTTAGAGTCACTTCCGGTCAAACCAGAAGTGACTTTCAATTTTTGTTCTCGTCAGTTGAAGCTTCCTTGGACGAATAGGAGATTATGAAATTTTCAAATTTTTATTTTTCGAAATAGCTGAGATAATTCATTGGAACAGGTATACTGGGACACCCGGTATAGTTGAAATCATGCGCAATGAGTTCTGCCGATAGATTTTTATTTATCTATAGAAAGTAACAGAAGTTTCACTAATTCGGATACTATATACACACGAAATTATTTTCATATTCAATTCCCTATTCCATCAGGATATGAATATGTTTTATATTTTAAAATCAATAATAATATCGTCCTCCAGTAGCAGACATTTTTTTGAACTGATTCATATCACATTTTATTTTTCTTGGCAAATCATTCATAACCTTACATATGACGTATGAGAATGAATTTTTGAATAAGTCTTTTTGGCGGATGTAAATGCTATGTACGTCTGCACGTAGTTTTAGTTTACGGTATAAGTATATCGGTGTTTTAAGTTTAATGGCATTATGAAACAAACAACTACCATAAAAGAATCTCCGTTTTTTTTATGCACAACCACTTCTGATCAGCAAGTTTGTGTGAAATATGTGAACATCCCAATGTGAACGTCTTCTCATATTGAAAATTAATCTGAGGCAAAAGTTCTGGATCTTTTGTAATCGGTTTTCACTCTGTTTTGTTAAACATGACCTAAACCCAAATAAAACAATGGATTTTTTTTCCAGAATTACAATGTTGTATGTCGAGCCAAGTGAACTGTAGCCTCCGAGTTTACTGGGGTGTCAACATAAGAGAACTCCACATCTTCCTGTGGAGGCCATGGGCCCATCTCCGAGATGCTTGTATCATTGGTGATTTTTTGAACGGATATTATCAATATCCTGGACCGCAGCTAGAGTGAGTGATATTTAATAATTATGATTATAATCTAGTGTAGAAGTAAATAGCTCAAAGTAGAGTAAAGTAGTAAATAGTAAAGGTGGATTCATGCATCATCAACTAAATTATAATGAATTTAAGATTTAAACGAATTTTAAATTAAAAATATATGAGTGTTAATGCAATAACCTTCCATCAGCTGTTTATTCTTTTCCAGCGCGGCTAGTTATTATTTGGCGCATGCGTTGTCGTGAATTATGGAAGAAATTAATTTCTTAGTTGAATGTTGGCCATCTTTCTTAGTTTAAATTTCAGTTTTAATTTTTAGTTTCTTGCATGAGCACCTACATTACATTTCATAGTTTTATATTATTGGTTTAAGTTTAAAATTTTGCTTGCATGAATCCACCATAAGGGACAAATTCTCAAAATCTCCACTACATATAATTTCCTAAAAGGAATAAGAGGAACATGTTTCGGACATCAATAGTGTCCATCATCAGCCGAAAGGTAAGAATATAATGGGGATGAAAAATAATTTTATAGTTTACATATTAATTTCATTATCAATTGAACTAAGGGACATTGTTATCGAATATATTACCCCAGAAATGCTAAGAAATGTCTTAGAAGCAACTGTAAGAAGAGGATATCTTCCATTATTCCAGATTTTTTGGGATTTTCTCTCCTCGTTACTATAAAATAAAAATATGAATATTATTTCAATATACGTGTAGTAAGGACAAATCAGACGATTTGCCCCAGAAAGTCACTGCGTTTAAAGAATTTTCCTATCAGAGAGCCTAAAAGATAAATTCAGTAGCTTGTCAGTGACAATTTGTATTGAAAAAAGTTTGGAGAAGAGAAATAAAGGTTTATAGAAAAATATCAAGTTTTTGTTTAGCTTTGGACGTTTCAGGAGAAATACGAATTTGCGATACAAAAAATCCATTTTTCATGTTGAAAACGAGAGCAGATTCGTTCCCGAAACGTCCAAAGCTAATTTATCTTATAGGATCTCTAATAGGAAAATTCTTTAAACGCTGTGACATTTTGGGGCAAATCATGTGATTTGTCCTTATCACACGTATATTGAAATAATATTCATATTTTTATTTTATAGAAACGAGGAGAGGTAATCCCAAAAAATCTGGAATAATGAATGTACACCTCCTCGATTAACCTACAGACAGTATTTAAGGATATCTTTGTTTAGAAAATAATGATTATAATTTTGTTATGAGTGTTTTTTTTTTAAATTACTGTTCGTGTTGTCAAAGTTTTAGTAATCAAGGTAATTCGTGAAAGAATCCTTCAAGATGAAACAATTTGAAGTGCTGCACTTAATAATTTAGTGAAATATTTTTTTTCAGTAATAAATAACTACATCAATGTTTAACACCGAATGATCAGGAATAAGTGGAACTGATGGTATTTGCTCTTTGGAAAAAGCTCTCAGAATCTGTGAACACATAATCAGGACCGTAAAAAAAAGTTGATGATGATTCTACGAATACGAAACGTCCCGTAGAGAGTTGAATATAACCACGTTAAATCTCATCAAAAGTTGCAATGGAAAAAGTATTTTAAGTTTTTCTGTATCTCCAATAATAACGTAAAAAAATGAAATAGATTTTCTAAAAATTCACTTTTTTCGATATAACTAATTAAATAACTGAAAGCAATTTTGAAAATGTTCGAAGGCCGTTGATACGACCCTCTGAATGCGCAATTTTTTTCATATTCAACCGAATTCATATCTCCTCCCCTTATCTCGATCACACTGTATAAGCAACATTCTAGAATAGGATACAGGATATTTAGTTTTAATCTTCTGAAAATGCTAAGGCGATGAAAAATCGTTTTGGTTAGTGGTTAGTGGGATAGTTAATATTTTCGACATTATAGGGGTTCCGTTTCGTGCGCTCCAAGCGATAAAAAAAAACATTGTTCTCTGATTTCAAAGATACAACTATCATTAAGTAGTTGATATTAAAAATTATGATCATATTCATTCACTGAGGTGCGCACGATGTTCAACACGAATATTATAGAGATTCCCTTTCGTGCGATAGAAAAGATAAAAGCATAATCAAGATTGTCGATTTGGCCTTGTTAAAAACAGGAATCAGGTTTGTAGTGATTTTTAAATCATTAATTCAGTCTGGTTATTTTTCAATATCAGATAAACCACTAGTGGCGTTTTTTATAAGAACGTCTTTTTTATATAAATATATGATAGGATAAAACTGAAAAAAATAACAAAAAATTGGCTGACCACAAAATTAATGAGTTGTTGTCTTGAGTAGAACATTAATATTCTACTTACAATCATTCAATTAATGAATTCAAGAAAATTATATAGCTCTGAAGTAAACTTTTTTCAACTTCTATCACCTCACTATATCAAATATTATTTTCTTTTTATAATTTTTAACCAATCAGAACGTTCATTTGAGCGAAGCTACCTTGTAATTTCAAATATACGTGGATATACATAGAGTAGTTCCACCTATCAGAAATTTATAATTATTTCCATTTCCATAGTAACCAATTCATATTGTTACATACAAACAAAGCGCTTCGTCAAATTTCAACGTTTACTCAAAAAATAATCGCATCTAACTTCAAGATCTTCAAGGTTATACATCTAAAATTTCCTGCACAATTACAAATCGTGTCAGTTCAAAAAAATATTTCAACGGTTTAACTCACACTCTTTGTAATTATGCAACAAGTTATTGATGAATTAAACGAATATTTTGAATTACTCATAGTATTACTACTGATAATCACTCAATTGTTCGAATATTACGAATTGAAAATAAAATCACTATTGAATGAGTAACTATTCATCCAAGTTTACAGTCATTGAAATTTCTTGCGAAATGTGTGGTGGTGCTGTTTTTGCCTCATCTTGCTTCACACTGTATATACTGCAGGACTGAAGTGACTAAATTATGGTCGTGTCTCTTCTTATTCTAATCCATCAGGGCGCATCCTAGTCTAGGCACAGTTCTTGCTATTCATCGGTTCGTAATGCATGATGGTTGTGATGGAATGGGAAACTATAGACATGGGTATTATCGAGTGGGATAAAACACCTGAAAGAACAACATAATAACGTAATATAAGGAAGGTAAATACCTATCCTTTCTGCATAAGAATTATATACTACTTTTTCATAACAATTTAACCTAACTCTGCCTAAATGAACCTCCCTAAAAACTATATTCTTCGAAAAATTACTAGAGAGAACAAAAGAGACTACTAAACAATCTAACCTAACTAGGCCTAAATGAACCTTCTACATAGAAAACATATTCGGAAAATTACTTGAGAGAACAAATAAAAAAAAACAGGGACGCAGGTGTGGCATGCTGACGCTTGGCTCACTATTTCACTAGCTCTCTATCTTCTTTAATTTTAGGAGGAGGCCGCATCCAGATCAAACCATAACTATGGCCCTAGAAAAGCCACTGGAACTTGGTACACCCCCTAGATTGTGCTATCCACTAGTCGTCATTTTGTTCAGGAATGATGTTGGAGATAACATACATCCCGATGAAACTGTGAGTATTTTATTCAAAATTAGTCAATCATTTTTTGCCTTTGAATGTTCAAGTATTTTTTTCAAATTGGATCTATATTTTTCCAGGTTGCTCTTATAAACGTTATACACATCAAGGATTCCGTGTGTACGCTTCCAACTAGTATTTTGGCACAATATTTGAAGCAAGCCAACGGACAGCTATCCTGTCTCAAGGTGAGGAAATTCGAATTGTTGAATATTGTTTGATTATTGTAGCAGAAATGATGATTGATGAGCTTAGCATCACTGTCAGTTCAATTATTAATACACTAGCAGACCTCGCAAACGTTGTTTTGCTATGTAAATTATTTCTATAATACATTTTTTTTGTTCAATATTCATCAAGACTCTATTATTATTTCATTTCCTACTTCTTTTTAGTTTTGCTATCTTTAAAAGCGTGTTTCTTTAGTTTTTCAAACTACCATTTATCTCAACTTCTTTTTAGATCACTTGAATTTTCCCATTTTGACGAAAGAATCATAATATCCGACTCCTAAAACCCCAGATGAAAATTTTGAATAGAATCGGAACATAATTACGAAACTCGTCCGCAATATAAGATCCACCATCTTGAATTCCCTAATTCTGACGAAGAAATCAATAATTTTTGATCCCGAAAGCGCCCACTTACAAATTTTGAATATAATCGTTATATAATTACAAAACTCGTCCGGTATATTGCTTCCACCGCCTTGAATTCCCAAATCCCGCCCTTTCCAAATTTTTACTAGAGAATCATAATCTATGACCCCGAAAACACCTAGATAATAATTTTGAAGAGAGTGTGATCATAATTACAATACTCGTCCGCCATATTGGGTCCGCAATCTCGAATTCCCTAATTTTGACGAAAGAATCATAATCTCCGACCACGAGAACCACTAGTTACCAAATTTGAATAAAATCGGATCCTAATTACAAAATCCGCCATTTTGGATTCGCCATCTTGAATTTCCAAATTCCGCCCGAATTTTCAAACTCTGACGAAAGAATCATAATCTCCGACACCGAAAACGCCCTGATACCAATTTTGAATAGAATCGGACCATAATTACAAAACTCGTCCGATATATTAGATCCGCCATCTTGAATTTACTAATTGTACCGGGATAAAAAGTATCCTATAACTTTCTCCTGGTTTTAACTCCCGACCTGACCTGAACTGTTTCTGTTAGTAATTTTTCTATTTTTTTTTTTGTTCTTTCTGTATTGACATGTGTAAACAAATATAATTTGTACTAGCACGAATAAAGAAAATAAATGAATAAATAAAAACTCCACCAATTTTCAGCCAAATCGATCCAGCAGTTTCGAAGCCTATTGAATACATACAAAAAAACATACAATCAAATCATTCCTCTTTATAATATTAGCATAGATTAGCGTAAAAAATAATGTACAAAGTTTCTGAACATTTTTCATTACCTATTTGCTATTAATTGCCATATGACTACAAAATTATGATTGGATGATGTTGAGCACAAAGAACCCTGTTGGTTATCTAAAGAAAAATTATCGAATCACTAAGTAACTAACATATTTATTTTTAAGTGTCTGTACTTTAGAAACACAATAACATCAAATCCATTAAGGAACTGTATAAAATGTCAATGAATCAATCAACATTTTAACGAGATCAACTGCAATGAGATTACAAAAACAAGACAAAAAATTGTTTCAGCAACTATACCTGGCAACTGGTAATCCAGGGGGATACGAGGGGCCGCAAATCCCCCTAGCAGTTGCCGAACCAGTGGAAGGGGGCCCAGGCCCCATGGGGCGTACGTTAGTCTGTCCGACCAACGAGGACGCCATGTTGTGGAACAGTTCCGGGGAACAACTGTGCGTCGTTTGTCAGTATTTTCCACTATCAAGGGCACTTTTACCTTGCAGGTATTGACTATTTTTCTATACATATTTTTTACAATTTCAGAAGACTTGAGCCGGCAAAATATCCGCTAAAAATCGGACAAAACAAAAATTTAACATTCAATGCGGTCCGTTGGTCCAGAGCGCAAAGGCGCTGAGTTCGTAGGGGAATGACATATCCCAGTCGTGTTCCTAATAGGAGATCAAATATGGCGGAGATAGCCCCTTGACATCATTTACCGAAAATAGTAAATATTTGGAAATATGCCACTACTGCTGAAGGCATAACGAAAACTCGAGGGGCGAACCGCAGACGAAAATTTGTACACCAGACTTCACATTTTCCTAAGACTTCACTGACTTCATCGGGACTTCACTGACTTCATCATGACTTCACTGACTTCATCATGACTTCACTGACTTCATCGAGACTTCAGTGAATTCATCGTGACTTCACTGACTTCATCAAGACTTCACTGACTTCATCAAGACTTCACTGACTTCATCGAGACTTCAGTGACTTCACTGGTACTTCTTGGGACAAGATTCTCATTGAGATATCACGACAATCATTGAAAATGCAATTTCGTTGAGGAGTGACGTCATTATGTAGTTCAGTAAACGAACAAAAATTAGGGGAAAATTAGTAGTCGCAAATTTCTGTAGAGTGAAGAAAGAAAGTGCTATTAACAACAAACAGTCCTGATCCCTAGGGGTTGAGCGGGGCAGTAGGATAACGTTTGAAGGTCATTTTTTCAAGTTGTTCTTGAATAATTCGACAATCGCGGAAAAATGAAAGTATACAAAGTTGAACAACATAAAATTTTCTATGAAAAAGTTTTTATTCACTTTTCGTCTATATAGAATGAATTGTTTCTGAGATACAGGGAGAGAAAAAATCGAGAAGTATCAAAAATAGAGTTTAATGGTTTGGAATTCATGTTCAATGTCTCAAATCATGAAATTAGTGTTCAACGTGGCTAATAACAAGAAGAAAATTTCATTCTTGAAAGCAAACATTTTGAATGTATACTTTCCAATAATTGTCAATTATAATAATCATCTTCGTCCATATTTTCCATATCCAGCAACGGTGCACTTTATATACATATATACGTACTGAGCGATCCATCTTCCCTCCATATTTTCATCCAGTTGAACGCAAACGTGAAGAATACTGTGATGTTGAAGGCTGCTGATCTGAATGAGCTTCTCCCAGATTTTTTTCAACTCAGTCAACTTTGATATTCTCATTTATGCAAGATGGTTGAACAGCACCTTGTGTTTTGTTCTTGAAACCTCCAATTTTCATACTTGCACTGAAAATGTTCCCCAGGAATCTGTGCTGTCACTCAATCACTAGCAATACCAGTCAAACGAACTAGACAATAAGTCCAGTCAGCACATTATTTGGTCTTCAATATTTTGTTTTTGTAATGTATAATGTTTGGTTTATTTTGGCATGATATTTCCTCCGATATTACGCTGGGATAATTCGATGGGAGTCAAGTTATAACTCGAAGAAGGGTCACTCGGATTGAAGCGAGGATAGAAGACTGTTGTATTTCACTGGTACGTATTTATTACGATTTTCAATATAAGGATTCATCGAGATTTCACTGACTTCATCATGACTTCACTGACTTCATAGAGACTTCACTGACTTCATCGAGACTTCATCATGACTTCACTGACTTCATCGTGACTTCACTGACTTCATCGAGACTTCTTCAACGTGTACACCAGACTTCATTAGCGGTTCGCCCCTCGCGAAAACTCATCGAAAACTCAACGAAAACGTTGAAAAAAAGCAGAAAACGGAAATTTGTGAATAAACACCAAATAAAACAAAAGCTGACAGATGACATTCAGTAATGCGCAGACTCGCCAAGGGGCAATCGGCGCCATATTGGTTGTCCTTGCTGGAACAAAATCATGACACAGTTTTTCCCTTCTCCTCTGTGTTTAGTTCTGTGGTTCGCACATATGCATCCCTAACCCTTCACAAGTTTCGACAGGGGGGTTGATTCCAGTGCTGGGGAAAATAAAAATGCATTCCCCAAAGATAATCAACTGTTGAAATATAATAACCTATATAGAACACAGAACAATTTAACTAGAGCTGTTCTGAGAAAAATCACGAGAGCGTACATTGTTTTCACCACGTAGGTATCCTTTATAATCTACCCTATTCTGTTTCTTCATATTGAAGCTCCAGTTCATCAATATTCTCGCCACATTTTTCACTGACTGTTCGGTTTCCAAGTTTCGTTGTCTACAAAATTCGCTAAATTGGTTCCAAATGGAGGAATTACTGCTTTTTTTCTGTGACGGGAAAAAAGTTTGGCATTTCATCTCTGTTGGCAGGTTATGGTGGGGAAAAAGTTAGTACCTTTTACCCGGATATATATCACATATATATATACACTGTTGGTGGCTTTTGTTGTGCTATAGTTCCGAAAATTGAGTCAATAATACCGTCTCCGAGAAAGAACTGCAAGTCCTTTTATCTTCCATTCGACTTCGCGGTTACGTATATTACTAAACAACCACTATATTCGCAATTTTTTGAAATCAAATCATAGAATTAGACTGACAGAAGTGACATCAGATATTTGATCACTTCAAAATAATGATAAAGTTGCCTACAACGCAGGTGTCCCTACTGTTGAAAACTTGAAATTTCACGTCGATAACTTTCAGATTTCAAAATAATGTAATATCTTCTCAATATTGATTTGTCTCTTCACCTGGAGCTAAAATCTACTACTTTTTTCCCTTGTATAATAAATAACTATTTGTATAATCTGGAGTTGATTTTTCAATATCCTTTACTGTTTTTGCCTCGCAAATATTTCCAAATCTCCACATACTTACTGGACTATCATTAGCAGTTTAATTCTGTTTTTGACATTTACAATTGTCAAACTGGTGCTAGTAAATGCTCTATGGTCCGATCCGATTTTTGTATCCACTTGCATTTCTGTTTCTTCCTATATGAGTGGAATTGTCGATAAAATCGTCAAAAATTTCTTTACCGCACTAGTACTGAAAAGATACTTTTCCGCATGATTTAGTATTGTTGAAAATAGGGATATTCAGGACTAACTAAATGATCTATGTAACTATTCTGTCTTAGCTGTAGCTTGTAGCATTATTATAAAATCTTGTTTATTAAAAACCATTTTTTTTCATAAATAATAGGGACAAAAACACTCATGGGCTAAATATTGTACTTAACTCTTGCGGAAAAGTACTACGTTCCGCACTTGTTAGGTACATAACTATTTTGTCATTGTACTCTAAATCTCCTATTCATGTTTCCAGATATTGCATGTATAGGTGTTGATACGTCTAGCTCTAATAATTTTCGACATACTCATTGGATATGCGTGAAACTGCAACTCTTTACAGACATACTTGCATATGCGCAAGCTGTTTCGACAAACTGGACCGCTGCCCGATGTGCAGGGGCCCCATCAAGAGCTATTTCTGCATCCGAGGCGAGGAATACATGCCGATCTCTGCTGACGTCAAGTCCCAAAACTCGCACGGCCCCCTCTACAACTGGCTGCATCACTGGGACGACCGGCTTACGGACTTCCTAGGATTCCAGCGATAACCGGTAGCCATAGTAATTTATTTTCTATTTATTCCGTCGGCGACAATGGCATTCGCGTTCATGCCCTTCGTTGCAAGATGCGTCGCAAGATTCGCGGGAATTTACCCATATACGTATTAATAAACAATATGGATAATCTCTATATATCGCGTGCACGATGACCAATCTTGGAGGTGAAATATTGAAACACAACCTCCATCTTCTGTGAAACATTGAAACAGAACCTCACATTTTTATTTGTTCACAGAGGAATCAAAGGATTGAAATAGTTGTTCACAATATTTTGGCATACGAATCGTGTTTTTTGCGCTATTCATTAATTCAAGGATGCCTTCGCATTGTGCTGTTGTACAATGCACAAAAAATGCAGCGAGAGACGAAGGAATATGAATATGAAGAATAATTTCAGGTAAATAGTAATCACATAGTTTTCATTATGAAATTTTGTCATTTCTTATCGAAATTCATTCTGCCACTTTTGCAATAGAAGCTAATACTGCTTAAAGATTGAAAATGTCTACAACACACATGATGAATCCAATCTTCTTGCATTATTTTAGAAATTTCACGAGTATTTCTATTAGTTCCTATTGCAGAAGGAATTCCGATGAGAAGCAGAGAAATTACCAAATTTCAAAAATGAAAACTATATGTGAGTGACTACTACTTTCAAATCATAATGTACCAACCAGATTCCTTCGTCTCCCGCTGCATTTTTTGTGCATTGTACAACAGCAAAATGTGATGGCATGCACGATTCAATGAATAGCCGAAGAACACGATTCGTATGCCAAAATAATTGTGAAACTATTTCAATCACTTGTAAACGAATAAGAGAAGTGAGGTTGTGTTTCAATGTTTCACCTCCAGGGTCGGTCATCTGACAGTTCTTGCACGGTTTGAGGGTTCCTGCGCATTGAGCAGAAGCGTTTTCAGGCGAGCGATTTACTCTAGATTTTCGGTTTGCTGAGATATAAAATATAGCAGTCTAGATAGTGGATATGTCAGTGACGCCACTACTTTCATGAGATCACCATCTGATGGATTATTGGTGATTGTTGGAGATTGGAGGAAAAACATATTGGGCCCTATATTTTCAAGGGTTCGAGATTGTATTCCAATCCAACGTTTTTCAAACTAATTATAATTGACATTGACAAAAGACATTGCATTCGACAAATGACACGCAATTTGACAGTAATTGCTGCCAATGAATAGGACAAAATGTCTTACCCTGTTCAATGAAATATGGTCAATTGACGTTAACAAAAACAATACATTCGACAAGTGACACCAGATTTGATAGTTTCAGTTGCAGCCAACATGCTATCACAATTGTTGTATTGGCTCCGCCGTTACTTGATGGAAATCCATAGTAGAAATCCATGAAAAACTTCACGAAGGATGAGATTTCCACAAAAATCTTGAAAACATGGGCATATTTTGCTAACAGTAGTTCACTTGTAGAAGCTACTGCGTTTGTGAAACATGGCTTGTTATGAAGATTTGAAGATCCTCCGGATAATTTTCGGATTCTAAATTCAAACTTTTTCGGATATTTTGGTCAGTTATTCTTGCGTTCCTTAGTTAAAATGAGCGCGGCTGGTGCTATATCGCTATATGGAGCACATTTTAAAGACATACACATACAAGGTGGTTTACGGTCTATGGTCCCTTAGGCGTTTACGGATAACGGGGATCATTCTGAAAATTTGGTAACTCAAGTAGTTGCTCTTGGTCTATCGATCTTAAATATTTTCAGCGATGCCGCTTATATTAGATTATCCCTGAAGAGTAAGAAATTGTTTGTGACAAAACTATTCATTATCGGTCAAAACGACTTTCATGTCCTTGTCTATCTAATGACATGTAACTGGAACAGATAGAGGGTGATTAGAATTCTGAATCTTGAACCATCCATATGTCAGTAGATAGTAAATCAAAAGTTAAGATAGGGATATGAAAGCCGTTTTTACCGATAATAGTTTCGCTACAAAAGAATCAAATCTTGATTTTGAACACCCTATATCTGTTATCATTCTCGCTAGCCCCAAGTGTGATACATTGATGAAATCAGCTCATTTGAAATATCACAGTTGCTACTACCTGCTGGTATATGCGACAACGCTGCATTGCTGAAAATATGTTAGGTCGATAGACCAAGAGTAACTACTTGAGTAACCGAATTCAGAATGATCCGGTTCTCCGTAAACGTCTAAGGTATGTACCATCGACCGTGGCCCACCCTGTATTATTTTCATCTAAGCATTAAGAAATCGAAAAATGTAGGACTAGTTTAATTTCATCCTCATTTTTAGGTTCTCAAATGGCGGATTTTGGGGATTGATCTATTGAACTCTCTCCTATCGTGAACTGACGTGAACGAGAGTAATTAAAGTTTTTTTTCTGTGACGGGAAAAAAGTTTGGCATTTCATCTCTGTTGGCAGGTTATAAAATGTCACTTTTCATAAATTACTTTTTTCCCACGTGGGAAAAAAGTGAGTACTTCTTTCCCGGATATATATCACATATATATATACTCTGTTAATGGCTTTTGTTGTGCTATAGTTCCGAAAAATGAGTCAATAATACCGTCTCCGAGAAAGAACTGCAAGTCCTTTTATCTTCCATTCGACTTCGCGGTTTCGTATATTACTAAACAACTACTGAATTCGCAATTTTTTAAAATCAAATCACAGAATTGAACTGACAGAAGTGACATCAGATATTTGATTACTCCAAAAGAATGATAAAGATGCCTATAAAACGCAGGTGTCCCTACTGTTAAAAACTTGAAATTTCACGTCGATAATTTTCAGATTTCGAAATAATGTAATATCTTCTCAATATTGATTCGTCCTTCCTTCTGTCACAGAAAAAAATAGTGTATTATACACGGGAAAAATCTTTTTCCTTTCCCATCCTTCTCTCCAGTGCTAACGCAACCGTACTGAAATATAGGGAGGTCCTATAATTCTTTCCTTCTAGTCTGTGCCACTGAACTCTTATCGATGAGTCGATGTCATATGTCAGAAATAATAAGTGTTGGGGAGGGGAGGCACTGGGAAGCTGCTTAAATAATATCCACATCTTCAAATATCGACTTTGTATTCTTCGACAACACCCTTGCAGCTCTTGAGTCTTAACTTTACTGGTCATCCTAACTATTCCCTGTCGCCTCTCTGTTATCTAGCTTATGTAACTCCTTAATCATGCATTCAATACATCTTAGTCATAAAACCAGCACCCGTCGATATTCTGAACATAACACGAGGTGCTGGTATACTGAATCATACAACATATTATAATAATAATCACGATAATATAATACTATAGTAATACAATGTAACTTGGTGGGTATCTCTGGAGTGTTTCTAACATATGTCACACTGATACATCGATAACCTTAAAATTACTTATAGAACTATGTTATAGTTCAATATCAGTTCAGTCAGCCAAGGTGAGGATTCATTAACTGTTTTTTTCAATAGAACGCATTTCTGGCCGTATATGATGACAACATAAAGTCAATGACATTTATTTTTTATGACGTTATCGAAAAAATTATAATCGGACTTCTCTATACTTCATTACGATTATGTTGGTAACATTGAAGAGGAAGATGGAATGAGAGGGATTTTTTCTTCTCTCCCACGATAGTAAGCTGTTTATTTCAATAGGCATTACCACAACAAAAGCTTCGTAATTTGTTTTATTGACAATTGAAATTCACAATTTTCCAGAACGCCAGAACTAAGCACATCACGATGTTATAGGAGAGAGATCGCCTTAGTGGAAGATAGCAAAACTTTGAAAGTTGAAAGTATATTGTTGAACAATAGTTTTGTTCTAAAAGCTGAAACAATTACTCAACCTACGCAGTTGCGATTGATCTTTTCATGAAAATGTTTTCTGGCAAAATGAGAGCAAAACATCACTATCACCAGTTGGCGCCACTAGTGCGTGAGGTATCTGTCAAAGATAAAATTCCCGGGATTGAGGAGGCCTTGAAGAATTTTTTTTTAGTTAGAAAATTATATTGAGCAGTGTTTCCTATGATTGATGAACAATTATTATAAGTTATGGTTATGCTTAGATTTTCTCACCTCTAATGTCATATAACGGAAGTTTTGCACATTAGCAAAGAAGAGGATAACTTAACTCGCATTGTTAAGGTATTTGTTTTCATTGTTGTTAAAATTACTAAATTTCATCGTCAAATTGGCAGGTTCATGAAGGAAATAATTTATCAATTTAAAATAATAACTAGGATCTGAACTATCAATCGGAAATGTAGTTCCTAGCAGTTTGTCATAATTATGGCCATTTTAGACTATGAATCCAAACAACTGGTAACGATAAATGCTTCAGATGTATTGGGGGTCGTTTCAAATTCCGTTTTTACATAGAGAGTCAAGTGTTAATAAGTTATCCCTGTTTGACTTTTATAAAATGTAAACATAATGAATCATTGAATAGTCATTTATTTTTCGATGAATCATACCAAAAATGAATAATGATATCAATTGAATATTAGCAACAAAACATCATTGACTATTTGAAAATTGAATTAATTGAAACATAATTGATGTATTATGCGACCTTGGAATGGAATTGAACTGGTGGATGGGATTCCGCTCCTAGTATTTGGAAAAGAAAAATGGAGAAAATGGACGTGTTGAAGTGAAAGAATCTCCTGGAAGAATATAGATACAGTATTAAGACTAGGGGTTTCTTATTGTAGGACAATTATTTTGTGAATATTTGAATTCAATAGCATGTTCGTTTCCCTTTATACATAATCCAGGATGATTCAAAATTCGATTTAAATATTTTAAGGGCATATTGGGATCAGAATATAAGACTTTTTCTTCATGAAAAATGGGTTACCATAATTTTTGAAGCAAAAAAGAAGGATAGTGCCTACAAAAACAGGGTCATGCCGTTATTATGATCATAATTTCAGATAATCTTCTTTTTATCCTACTAACAGTGGCAGTGCTCAGAGGGGCTGCAGTTTAGGACATATCTTTATATGAAGAAGAGGTCTTATTTTGACTCAACAATACGTCTATCTATGTCTATGATCTAAGGCTCAGGACTGGCGATTGTGGTATTTCAAAGTTTTAACTATTTGAGGCACTATATGTTTTTTTCATTTTGCAAGAGAGCCATGAATTCTTTGAATTTTGATTTCAAAAAGAAATACATGTTCAAAAGTAGGTGATAAATTTGTTAGACATATCCAATTTCTCAGCCTATTTCACTCAGGTTACCGATCTCATTTCTTCTTATTCCTAGTTTTATCCTATTCTTTTTATTTTGTCCGTATTGTTCTTTTACACTTACTGATGATGTTTTGGAAAAACAATCTGTAGAGTAAGCGTTTGATTCCAAAAGTAGTAAGAAGTTTTTGGAAACTTATCATCATCATAAGCGATTCTAAAATGTTCGATGATGTTCGCAATGTAGAAAATATGGAAGTTATGGCTTTCGATGGAAATACACGGTGAACTTAAATGATGTCATTGATTTGGTGATTCCTTGTCATATTTTATGAAAAGAAGTTTTTATAAACTCGTGTCCCTAACTTGCTCCGTTTTCGAGTATCGGGGTGTCGAAAAAACGTTTTTTCATGAATTACTCAAAATTCCCTTGTTACTGCTGACAAACATACCTAGTTTCATCAAAATCGGCGTAAAGACTTTTGAGTTATTAAAGAAAAACCTATTTTATAGTAACACTTTGACACCTTGTTACTCGGAAACGAAGCAAGTTAGGACACACGTTTATATTGACACAAGTAGATGTTGAAAAAGGGGTATTTTCTATTGAACCCATTTTTAGGTAGAAATTATATTTTCATATTTCCTGGCGAACTGCCGAAAATTGTATAGAAAAAATGTTGGGGGGAAGAAATGCCCTTAGCCCTACCTATTACCCACACCCCTGATCAAAATTTCGGAAAATTTTCAACATTTCCAAACCGAGCATGAAAAGTAATAAAAATGTACAAAATTTCGTTATCACAACACAGAGGGCTTTCGGAAATACAGAGAAGTGCACAAAAAACAGCCAGGACTGTAACTTCTGAATTATTCGAGATATGGTTTTGAAAAGCGGTGGGCAGCTAGTATACTAGATTGCTCATTAATTGGCGTTCAATCACTTCCAGTTTTTCTGGAAACGACCCCATCTATTGATTATCGAACGCAAATATCTTTGTAATCGTTTGAAATAACCCTATTAAACTCAGTATCGTTGAATTCGTCATGACAATCCCTAACTGATTATGGAATACAATACTGGGTGTCCTATAATCCGAAGTTGGAATCGTTTCCGGTGAAACTGGAAGTGATAAAAGAAAAATTGTTCTATCAATTAATGAGCAATTTAGTATACTTGCTACCCTGGCCGTTTTTTGTGCACTTCTCTGTATTCAAAAATAAACATCATCCCGGGTCCTCTTTCAGGTGGCTATAACTCCCCAGTGGACCATTTCTATTCCCATATTTATATTAACTTTTTTTACTATTTTTGTTCATATCATAATCTGTAGTTGAAATGTTTATCTAATTTCGGGACACCCTACCCTGTATATTCATTTTTACGGAATTCATCACACATTTCAATTTCAGAATCATGCTTTCGCGTATCGTTTTGCCAAGGGGTGGGTTGGTTGTTGAGTTGTTGAAGAATCACGATAGGTATTTCAGTATTTACGAATATCTGCCCAAAAAGATTGTGGGAGCGGAGTAAGGTATTGTTGCGACATGTTGCGATCAACCATGATTTGTGAATATTTCACAGTAATTAAGTATCACATTATGTCAGTGTTATACTATATAGGGTTGTGAATTGTATCATAAAACAGTAGGAGAATTAGGAATTATGTATTTTAATATTATTGAACGAGATTATTCTTGGTTAGACATGTCAATTATTGGCTAATGAACTCATCATTTCTGCTGTGAAGGTGCAGGAAAAGTGTGATATTGATGGTATACTGTTTGGCAGGTTAGCTAGTACTTGAGATTCTAGAATGTTTTGTTTGGAATGGATTGATTATTTATTCATAGTTTCCAGCATCCCATATATTCGTGTGTATATTAGTTCATAAATATAAGTGGTTAAATATCTATAAGGAAAATTACAGTATGGTGGATGATACCAAGAGATTTTCCAGTTAATCACAAGAATGTCCCATGTATATATTTTGAATTGTAGTATTGTATAAGGTGTTTTTCTGATTTTCTTCGCCATGTTGTAATTTTTTGAAGACACACCCTGAGACCCTAGACCCTAGTATGTATCTAACTAAGCTGTGATAATAGTTTCAATAAACGATTTATTTACCTCAAGAATTTCATTTCCGTCCAAACTTCTTTAAAAATTTGTCTTTATTCTTGTAATAAATATATTATACAGGTAAAAAATTTCTTGGAACGAAATTATATAACATTTTATATACACTTAGTATCACTAATTATGGATAAAGTAACAATAGAAAGGGGTTTACCAAACTGTTATGAGAACCAATCATTAGTCAAACCTCCAAATAGTGAGGCTGCACTTTGCCTCATCATACTGGCAGAATCCTGTGATTTTTTTAGTGTTGCTTTTGGTTTTTGTGTAGACTCCTGAAAACAATTTTCATGTTTCAGAGTAGCTGAGTGGGAAGTAGAGCATAAGAGGAAACATTAGTAGATAAAAAAACATAAATAGAAATTGTGGATTAGTCACTCACACACCTTGAAACAAATAATGGGGAAAAATCACTCAAATGACCACACTAGGGGTAGTTTTCAGTAGGGTCCCTTGATGCAAACCAACATATTTGTCATCTAACAGGGTAGGGACAGATCATAGCCCCTTTCTACTTTAATCATCTAGTGACTTTGGTTTCGTGTATTGGCGTCCCTGACATGACATTGCTGCAATGTCACATTCACAGGCGTTAAAAGAAATGTTACAAAATTTCAATTTCATACTTGATCCTGATACGACATTATTCAATTCTGTTTTGGAAGGTTGATAAAATGTGCTGCGTTAGGCTGTATCAATCAGTTGGATCGCAAATTTGAATTTGTCAGATGCAAATGAACTTAGAACATGGAAAGTAAAGTGACCGAATGGCGAAAATTGGTAAATACATCAGCAAAATAATTATATTTTCTCATTGTGCCTATAATTATCCACACAAGTTTTTGAATGCATTTTCGTAGAAACAGTTTTGATTAAAACGGAGGATTAAAAGAAGAGGCATATGCCCTACCATTTAAAAAATTATACCTACATTGAGGAAATATTAAGTGTTCATGAAAAACTGCAAAAATGATTCCCAACATGAATATATACAGCACAAATGACATATAAGCACATTAGTTTAAATACCTACATAAAATTTTTCACCATTTCTCAACCATAAGGCTTAGTCTGAAATCAAAATTCATTTATTGATAGGTACTGCCTAAGAACAGTCCCATATGGTAAAACGTATTAAACTCTCAGAAAAATTTGCTTACTGCCTCACATATTATGGTGGAATTGAAAAATCAAAAACTCGAAAATTAGAGAATGAGAAATTACATTTGGAAATTACGTATGATACGCCAATGTCCTTAATATAACCTAAAAAACAACAAATGTCAGAAATCTATGAATAAAGATGGAACTAGTGCGTTCATAAAGTGTGGAAACGCTCCATTATCTTACGATATAATTATTTTCAGAGGTAAAGCTCGGACAGGTCGATTTTGTATTTCAGTCTTCCATCTTTTTTTACAAAAAAATAATTTTTTCCCCCACCACCTTACAAGATATGACGTCATCGATATTTTTTTCAAATTGAAAGGGTATATTTTTATATCAAAAATTGAAAGCCCATATTTTTCTGAGTTCAACCATACCACATACGTCATATCTTACACTTCAAGTTACAGTATACTGAGTATAAAAGAAATCAGTGTTCATATTTCTCAACATTCATTTAATTATTTATTTGCAATGAAAATATCATAAGAAGTAGTGAAAATAAACAAATAACAAATCTACAGCAAATGCAAATATACTCGTACTAACTACTGAGTAATTCTCAGGTTTCCATTGCAAAATAAATAATTAAATGAATGTTGAGAAATATGAACACTGGTTTCTTTTATACTCAGTATACTGTAACTTGAAGTGTAAGATATGACGTATGTGGTATGGTTGAACTCAGAAAAATATGGGCTTTCAATTTTTGATATAAAAATATACCCTTTCAATTTAAAAAAAATATCGATGACGTCATATCTTGTGAGGTGGTGGGGGAAAAAATTATTTTTTTGTAAAAAAAGATGGAAGACTGAAATACAAAATCGACCTGTCCGAGCTTTACCTCTGAAAATAATTATATCGTAAGATAATGGAGCGTTTCCACACTTTATGAACGCACTGTATAACTGTTTCACACACACTTTAGAGTGAGAGGAGACGAGAATCTGTCCGTACCCTGTTAAGATGACAAATACGTCAATTTACGTCAAGGGACCCTAGTTTTCAGTAATTCAGGGTTTCATCCACCAGTAAGGTAGGAACTTTTTTTTTGTTTCAATCATCGAGAATGCACAGCGGCAATTTGAACTCTTTATAATTTGTTTCTTCTATTTGGGGATTTTTGCTATCTAATTTACATTTATTAATGGTAATTAGTAGGTTGTTTCTCAAGTATAGCAACTTTTTAGGTAGTTATGAATAGGGTCCCTTGATGGAAATTGACGTTAAAGTCATCTTAACAGGGTACGGACAGATCCTCGTCTCCTCTCACTCTAAAGTGCGTGAAACAGTTATATAGTTCCTTCCTTATTCAATTCTGGGAATAAACACTAGATTTTTGACATTTGTTGTTTTTTAGGTTATATTGAGGTCACTGGCGTATCATACGTAATTTCCAAATGGAATTCCTGATTCAACTATACCAAGATATAGATGAAAAATCCTCTAGTTTCAGAGTTTACTACTCCAGCATAATCTTTGCGAGGTAGGGATCATATAAATTGTACCGAAAGCTTAATAAATTTCACCAAAAGAAACTGTTCTTAGACTGTATACCAGGGTTGACTGAATTGACTGAATGAATAATTCTGATTTCAAACTGAGCAGTAGTTAATCTATGAGCTGAGCCTTATGATTGAGAAATAGTGAAAACCTTGATGTGAGTATCTAAACTACTGTACTCATGTAATGTGTGCTAAATATATTTTCGGAAATCCAAATCGAAGAAGAATTTATGAAGTGACTAATACCACACTATGTATAAAACTTCGTCTAGGACGAAAAGTAGGCTGATAAAAAGTAATAAGTAAAATGTGAAAGAATAGAATATACTTCACCCCCATGTTATACATATTATTCTTCCGTCTCCCTTAAATAAAAAGTCATTTTCAAATAATTTATTGATGAAAGTAACAAACAACTTGGTATAGGCAGTATAACTTATAGGCACGTTATTTTCACTCTTGCATCTTACATACTTTCTATTTCTGGTAGAGTAATAATTATATAAACTAATGTCTTTTGCCATATTGGATCCGTCATCTTAGATTTTCCAATTTTGACGAAACAATCATTATCTCCTACCTCGAAAACCCCTAGATATCAATTTTGAATAGAATCGGATCATCATTACGAAACTTGTTGATGACTTTAACGTCAATTTCCATCAAGGAACCCTATAGTCATGAATTAGATTTTCAAAGCACACACATTCAATTTACCATTCACAAAGAGTAGCTATTGCCTCTATCCTGAAATGAAAAATTAATAAACTAACTTGAAGAGACGATCAACATCTGTCATTTGAATGGAGAATTTATAATGAATTTGTGGAAATCCAAACAAAATTGCCAGTTTCACATATCTCCTCCATATGAATGAGGACAAATATATAATTCAAAGCTTGGTAAACATTCAAAATGTTTGTAATTTTAGATTCATCATCAGAAATCCTTTATTAAGAGACTTAACATTCTATAAATACTTACCTTGATATTTTTGGAAGGTGTACCGGACAATTTTTGTGACGGTGCCGATACCGGTAAAAGAGGAAACCAAGTCGTACTGGATGGCACACTCAAAGCCAAAATAGATGGGTTCTGGTCTTGTTCATTGAGTTTTTCTGAAACTCCTAAGCAACTCAATTGACCTGGCGACGGCAGCAGACAACCAAACATAATCTACAATTCATTGAAACATCAAGTATCTATAGATCTCCACATAAATTATGTTCAGCTAGTCAGAACTAGAGTCCCTGTATAATATACCTTAGACAAGAGTCCGGACACAAAACTGATAGCCGTTGGGTTTTTTAATATTTTGTTTCATTTGGTTTGCCCACCTGACAATGTGACGAAACACCATAGTCGTCCCGCCCGCTTTTTTTAATTATTTCGAATTTCTGTCACTGTCACTGAAATTTTATGACCGTCAAAATTTTGCATTTTAAATTATTTCAATGTCCTGCTGTGTACATTATTGCGATAATTCATTAGAAAAAGGATTCAAGTTATTCAATTTCCCGAATGATCCTTTGAAGATAAAGTCATGGAAGAATGCAATGAAACGTCCAGAACGGAAAATTAATTTCAAGAAATCCGCAATATGTGAGGTGAATATTCAAATCTACTTGAAAAAACAGTACAAAAAAGATGAATTTTAGGCCCATTTTGATAGAGATTCTTTCAAGGGATGAATTTCAAATTGAAAGAGTTTGCTGCGCCGTCAATTTATGAAATAGAGACGTTCAAAAAAAGAGTTCCGTCGTCATCGTATTGGGAATTACTGAATGATACGATCGCAGAGAAAGAAAATGAGAATGAGAGGATGCGGAAAGAAATTGAAAATTTGAAATCAAAACTAGAAGATTTAGAGAAATTGCAATGTGCTATGTCATGAGTACACGGTGTTTTTGATTCAGATCAAATTCAAAATTTACAGGTGAATGTAGACTGCAGGAAGAGGTGGGGAACCGACATAATTAATATTATATTGAAACTATTATATTATATTTACTGTTTTTATTATATCCCAACAGAAAATAACTATATTTTCTTGGCTATATGTGATACCACATAGAACACTTAAAATTATCTTTCTTATATCTAATGAAGTGAAGAAATATCTGATGACGAAAATTTGCAATACCCATCTCAGGAATAGATTATGAAAATTATTGATTCGAAATTTGAACACCCTGTTGTTCATTATTTGAAAATCTAATATAGGTATTCTAGTCAAAATAGCCCTATTTCTCACTTCTACCTACGGCTATGAACGGTTAGACAAAATCAATGTGTACACCATAATCAATACTCAATTAATCAACTGTACTCAACCTATAATCAAATGTAATCGAATACTCAAAATTGAATGTACACCATCTCAAATGTAATCAACAAGTCTCAAATGCAGTCCGTTTCAAATGTAATCAAATTGTCTCAAAAGTAATCCTATCGTCTCAAATGTAATAAAATCGTCTCAGATGTAATCAAATAGACTCAATTGTAATGAAAAACGTCTCAAATGTAATAAAAATGTCTCAAAAAGTCTCAAATGCCTCAAAAAGTCTCAAATCCCTCAAAATGTCTCAAATAGTACTCAACATAATCAAATACTCAAGAGTCTCAAGAAGTCTGGAAATTACTCAAATGTAATCAACAGGTACTCACTTATCCAGTGTACACCAGTCTCAACGAGTTGTCTACCCCTCGGACAAAATAATCTAACCCTCAAATTTTTTTCTGACAATCATTGATCCTAGGGGAATTGAAAATACAGAGCTCCATATATATATGTCTTATTCCTTTATTCAATCATCAATGCATTTTTTGAAAACAGAAAAGGACAGAAGTATAGCTGTGTCCGGACTCTTGTCTAAGGTATATACAGGGACTCTAGTCAGAACCATTGTCTGAATGATAATCTAGTAGGCGAGGTTAGTACTGTCTGTTCATTGGAAAATAATCTACCAAAATCGATTTTATCCACCATATTTTCCATAAGCCAGTGCCAATAACAAGCATACATATTTTGTGTCAGTGAATTGTCAATTTGAATACTAACCTGTGATTGAATTACAGCTTTTTTCACATTATTTTGTAAATAGGAATAGAACACATCTAAATCAAATGGGTCTATCCTACTCCTAAGTTTATCACAGATATCTTGTGATAATTCTATGAGCTGCACATTCTCTCTGGGAATGCAAAATGTAGTCAAGTACTTGACATCAAATAAAAGCTGTAGGGCCTGTTTTTGATTGAGTTCTTTGTCAGACAACTGTTTGTATTTTCTTAGTATGACATTGACATTGTCTTCTATGTACTGTACATGCACTAGCTTTGGCAATGTGTGAGGTAGAATGCAGCACAATTCTTCATTCAAATTGGCGAATATTTCACTTAGGGCCAAGCTTGGTTTCAAGGGAACTTTGATTTGTGATTTGAACACTTTTTCATCAGTTTGTTCTTGGATTTCTATCTCATCCCATCTCTTGAAATAAAAATCTTTTATATCACCTTCACCTCAAGAATTTTGACATTTACTCACCCCTAATACCTTCAGCATATTTTTTAAAGAAATATCATCTAGTACTTCACACTGTTTTTCTGTGGTTTTTACAATATCCTGTACCCAATTTAACCATAAGGTATGACTGGTTTTATTGAAAGTATCACAGATTTTTGACCAGTCCATTGTGGAATTATTGAACATGCAGCACTTATTGAAATTTGGACAAAGTTGTGTTGCAGCTTGTAAAAATCTTGCACATATAATAGATTTAGTTACTAGATTATCAGAATTTTGGTTTATGTGATCCCTAATGAAATTTGATAATCTGAAAAAAATATAGTGGCTTTACATAAATATACAATGTAGACAAAAGTATGCCTTACTGTAATGAGGTTTCTGCACATTCTGCCTGAAGATGATTTTCTGTATCTGGAGTATCTATATATTTTCGTTTGAATTTATAGTCTTTCAATACTAGTGAGAAATCATCATTTGATCCATATTCTTTACCATATAAGTATTGCCATACATCTTCTAATATTTCAAAATATTTGGTGTCTAATTTGTAGCATAAATCAACTATAGTAGGCGAAAATCCTCTATGTTTCATTGATAAACCTAATACATAGAACAGTTTGAATTACTTCTTTTGGACTAGACTCCCACTCTTTACCTGAATGTGCATCCTCAGCCTTACCAACATCACTTGGTTCCTCTTTCCAAGTATACCAAATCAAAGAAGTCCCTGATCTTTCATCTTTGGAAATATTATTCAATCTATCTTTGATATAGCTTTGTATTTCTTGGGATACCAAAGAAATTTTTTTGGAAATTAATATCTGGCAGCTGTTGGTTATCAAATTTTGAAAAAAGCAGTACCAAACATCAAAATTTTCTGGCAAATGGGAATCTTTGCATATTTGTTCCCAATTCTCAGGAGGTTCTGAAAACAATATCTTCCTTAAATTATGCAATTCACCAATTGTTTTCAGAGTATAAGTTTACATTATACATGGTAACAATAGAAAAAAATAATACCTTGGTTACTTACCAAGTTTCAGTGATTCTTCTCTGATGAGGTGCAGACCTTTTACATTTGTGACAAGTTCTAGGGATTTTTCCAAGCCTGTCTCCAAAGTTTTTCTAGTTGATTCCAACCAACTTTTTAAAACTGTTTCAGCATCATTCAATGATGTTTCTGTTTCTACAGAATACTTGAATGTAGGTCGAAAGTTCCTAATAACTTCTGGAATATATGAAATTAATGGTGTAACAGGCAGCTGTAGCTTAGATAGTGTGGTTGTAGATGAACCCCCAACAATTTCTTCTAGTTGTTGCCATATCAAACCCTTCTGCTGATTTAAAGAACCTAGAAATAGGAATTGTAATAATAGAAATATTTCAAACCTGCTCAAATATTTACAAATAAAGCAGTCATGTAGGAGTCGTACAGTTGTAATTAGGCACTTGACCATTGAACTAATTTGCATTCTTACACTTGAGTATGAAGTATGCATAACAGTATTCAGTGCTGTCTTCCTATGTTCAATAAAAATGCTAAGTAGATCACTACTGGTTTGTTTTTCTAGTAATAACAATGCATTCAAATTCTGGCTAGTTTCCTGCAATGGACAATTATTTTTTATTGTTATTACAAGCAATCAAATTAAAGGTCCTTGAAGTAAACAATACTTTCACAATATTCAATAATCAACTTCAATATCAGATAGTATACATACCTGTGCTGATGTGTCTACAGATTCAAGTTTTTCAACAATTTTATGGAATATTCTTGATCTCAAGACAACTAAATTTGATTTTATTTGATGTAAAAGTGGTATTTTATCAAGATATTTGTTTTTGGAGAGACTCAGACCTGGAAGATGAGGATCAGATCAGATTCAGTGTCAAATAGATTATGTTTTTCACCTGTATGTATATGTTGGGCTAATAAATAATACTGAGTGGCTTCCAAATTATTTTCTTCATCTATGGCTATCCAAATTTGTTCATTCATAAAAATTGCCATTCTGATCTGAATGATAACAGTTCTCTCATCAACCTGTTCTCTGGAAATAAATAAATAAAATCAGATCAAAATATAGCAACCAAAATTGAAGGAACTCACTTTTCTACTTCAAGAGGAGTATGAATATCTGTGCTCACTGGATTTATAAATTCTTCACAAGTACTCATAACCTTTTCAATACTGTTAACAATTAGTTGGGAGATGGTTTTCATTGATTTTATTGCATCTGAGGCGGCCAATACATCTTTGTAACGGTCTCTGGAATAATAAATTTCACCAATTTGAACTTCACAAATCAAAAATTACTTACCCTACCATAGACCTAAGTTCATTTCTCTTTCTTTCGATTTCTGCATCTAATAATTTCTCAATTTCAATTATTTCATCTATACTCCGCTCTTCGAATGCTTTATCAATATCAAGTTCTAATAAATCCTGCTTTTTTGCCATTTTATGATTTTAAGCCCCAAAACGTAACCTAGAAATGAATGGATTTGGAAAGACGTCATCACGTCACCCAACAACTGAAAGTCAACGTCTTCTTCTTTTTTAGTCAACTTCGAACCAGATGCTCTTCTTTTTGTTTGTTTGTGTGGTTTAAGTATTCAACCAGTTTAATTGTTTGAACTAATTAATTATAGGCTTACAGAGATCTGTTCTGTCCTAGAACTTCTAGATAGAGAGGAAGTTTACATTACAACATTACAACATCTTAATTACAACAATCAATCAAGAATTTTTTCTGATATATAGGGTGTCTGGAAAACCATGGATCACACCAGAAAACCATAACTTGACCTCAGTAAAAACCTCATGGTTTTCGAGATCTTGGAACTAATGAAAAAAAATGTTTCCAAGGAAATGAGGAGCTTTTGATATGTTATCATTCTTATTTTTGATAAATATTATTACTGATGATTACCGTGTAGTTGTTACAATCGCAGAAGGCAGATTTTGATTGCAGTCATGTAATTATACGGTCTACAAAAAATCTTCTCCGATGTGGATCCTTATATTTCATGATTTTCTGTAATGAAACTTTTATTTTTTTGTAGACCTTGAGATATGCTGGACAACAGAGAGAAAAAATCTTTATTGGGGAATTACCCAAAAGGCTATATCGACCGAAGTCTTTCAGCCTAGCTGGACAACATTTTACCAACACTGCTCGTTCGTCTGTAGCTTTGGAATTCTTTGTCAAAATTCCCAAAAACTTATACCACAGTTGAGAGAATATTACATTCTCTCAACTGTGCTTATACTTACCTAGCACGATGTTCTTCGAACATTCTAGGAATTTCCTTTCGTACGCTCAAAGAGATAAAAAACAATCGACCACCCAATTTTACCTTTAATTTCCTCTCTTTTTTATGTTTGTTTTTTTTTGTTACGAACTTTCTCATGATATGCGGTGGACAGTGCACCTATATATACATCAGGGGCAACATCGAAATAATTACAAAAAATACAGGGTGTAACTAATAGGTATACATTAATAAATTCGAGTGACGTATTTCCTGAGACAATTTTGAGAAAAAGTTTGTGTAAACTTTTTTAAATAAAATACTTTATACTTTCATTACATAAATATCATAAATGTCTTTGAAAGCAATAAAGAATCTAATCTAACAAAAATAGTCCCCAAACGGCCTCGGGATCATAGATCAGATTTTCGATGTCGATCACAAAATTCGACCGTGCGTGATAACATCTGATACCTATAAGACTGTCTTATTGATTTACCACCTGGTCCCGAAAGAATGACTAATGAGATGAAATCATGCTGCTAATCGATTAATTTCCGAACAAATGATTTATCTATAACTTATGATGATAGAATTATACCGGGGGAACTCTGTGACCAATGATAATAATGGAATTATACGGGGGGGGGGAAGATATAGATTAGATTAGATGCGTAATTTGCAATACAAAATCAATTATCGTACATGATTAATACTATTTTCACAGTTCATTAATTAAATTAAATCATATGTTATATACAATCATATGCTTCACTGAGCACATCCATTGACATAATTATGACAACAATAATATTACATACATTTGCTAATTTTGTGATTGAAACTTATTCAAACACGAGCATTTCTTTAGGGATTTAGATATACCTATTATATGTTGCAGTATTCTTTAAAGTCACTGGTGGTAGGTACCTTATTATACAGGGTGTTTCAAAAAAAAAAACCTGACCCTCTTACTAGGGCAGGTAGAACACCGCAAAATAAGGGTTTACTCGGTAAAAAAATTTCGTAACGGCATCCGTTATCAAGATACAAGGTGTTGAAAAAAATATTTTTTTACACATTTTTCAAGATTATGTCGAAACTACTGGCAACATTGTAATGAAATTTTGTATGGATGTTTCTTGGAATCTGACACATCGCATGCATTTGGTTTTTTATCTGACTCTCATAGAGCGCGCTAGTTACACGGTTCGTACCGAGTAATTTTGAACATAACTTTTTTGAGGTTAGATTTTTTAATCCATTTGATGTGAACTTGAACATCATTCAATTTCACACCTAAAAGGCACTCTTGGTAAAACTCTATACTGTGTTGAAAATGATGAAGTGATAACTGTTGCTGGAATAAAAGCTATGTATTAGTGTGAGTATTATAAAAAATTATCACCTATTCATTGAAAACCGAGAAAAAACAATACTTTTCTGATGCTAAACTTATTGATTCAACAATGAATCACAAGAATAACATCGAAACAAATTGGACTAAAAACATGGATTACACAGTTTTGTTGTATTTTGAGCAGAAAGTTAATGCTACATAGGTAAATTCACGTCAAAAGAGTTGTAAGACATTAATGAACATCACTTAAATAAATAAATGAATAATACATTCATAGAATCGTGTATTCGTCGAAACGTAGGATATTTTGAACACTGCACTTACTCTAATTGATTCAATATTTCATGTTATAAAGGTAAGCCACCTTTGAGAAACATCCGGTATGTATAGGGTGAACCAGAGGAATGGTGGCCACTGGGGTAATAGCATTATACCAAAATAGTGCAAAAAGTTGTATGTCGTGCAAAATAAATTTTATTTAATTTTTCCCAATCATCATCAGTGCGTACATGTAAGTAAACAGCTTTAATAGCTATTGAAAAAAGCCTCAGAGAAAATAGAGAAAAAGTGTTCGAAATTCATTTTTGAAGAATTATATTAGATTAGAATTTAAATTAGAAAATTAGTGGAAGTTAATCAACTTTTTCAATAGGTAAAAGTTGATTAACGAAAAAAAAAATATCCCATCTTGTATAAAACCCTTTATAAAACATAATCACTACACAGCCGTTTACCTTTCGGAAGGAGCATAAGTATATATGAGTTAATTCAATATCGTTTATACCATGGCAACCGTTTAAAAGTTATTGAGGTAGCAATTTTTTTTATAAGAAGTACTCAGTAGCGCATCTAGGATTTAGTTCTGGGAGGGGTAAATGTCCAATAATCAGGTAGATAAAATATATAGGAAACAGAAACCTATCATTGAGTATAGAAACTAAAAATGAAAAACGAATAAAAAAATCAAGAACATAAAAAAATTGTCATCAACATTTGAACAAAAATAAAACAAGAATAAAATACAAAAATAACAAAAAACATCTCAAAATATAACAAAAAAACTCTTTGGAAAGAGGAGATTACAAAATAAAGTCTAGTTTTCTATTTTTTTTGGTAGCATATCGATTAATAACATCTTCGACATCTACCTGAATCTCTCTATGTATGCATAGCATTGCCAAACCTGAAAGCCTTTCTTGCAGCATGGTTGAGCGTAGCCAAGTTTTCAACCGTTTAAGGCAGGAAAAACTCCTTTCCGCAGAAGCCACACTAACAGAATCTATGCTAACAGGCAAGGCGAGAGGCAAGGTAACAAGTATTTGTAGGCATTGTTTAATAAGGAAAACATATCTCCATCACAAGATATAAAGAGATCTAAACCATCTTTAACATCATTTTGTGTAACGGATTTCCACAACTGAAACTCAGAATTTATTTTTATGAAAGTTATATCATTGCTCATATTCTCTTGCAACCTATTGATGTAGTCTGTTATTGTTTGAAGTGATTTAGTAAGTGCATCGGGATTTCTTGAACAAAAAATTGAATAAAAAAATATATTGAACTCAAAAGTATTCAGTCCCTCTTCATCAAACCTAAAACGAAAGTCGTTCGTAACATGATCCAACAAAGGTATGTACAAGTTGAGCCTGTAGTAAGTTTCAACATTTTCTGCTTGTATATTACTACGATATACTTGTCGTTTTATTATTCTTGGACTATGAATATCTATCTCCATTTTTTCATGAATATCACAAACCAATTCAAAAATAGCTTCAAATTGACGCTCAGCATTGCTCCGTTTTTCTTCCAAAACCAAATTTACATTTTCTATAACTTTACCAACATATTGTCTGTCGATTGATTTTGTTTGTAAAATCTTTCTTACATTAACTGTTAAAGCTAAAATTTCACTCAAGCTATAAAGAGAAACAATAAATTCTGTAGAAGTAATTCCAGTTTTGAGAATTTCAGCTTTAGACGATGAATCGCGGTCTTTCCAAGTTGAAATGATTCTGAGCTAATCAACAATGCTTTCAAAGCAACTTTTGAATTGCAGCACTGATTCGTGCCTATCTACATCTAGTATCACAAAGAGTTTTGAGTTGAGTATTACCTAATTTTTGGCTGAGAAGGAAATTTCTTTTAGCCGATGCCCTGATACCCCCCGTGTCCTGGGGGGGGTAATTACCCCCTTTACCCCCCCCCTTGGATGCGCGCCTGGAAGTACTGACATCATTTTGGCTCACCCTATCAGCCCAATCATTTACAACATGACTTTTCCGGACACCCTGAATATATACAGCGTGACCCACTCTAATGGAACCACCCCTGTATCTTACGTAATCGTTGGATAAGGATCCTGAAATTTGCTGCAAAAATGCACTCTATGACCAAGTGGAGTCATCTTCAGTGATATACACTGCTCGCCAACAGCCATGAAACTACCCCATTTTCCGGAAAATGATATTAGGAGTCAAAATAGGTCTAAAATCACTTCAGATTTGGAATCAGGACGCCCAATTTACTAACTATTCCAATTTTTCCTGGAAAATTTTCAGTTCGGAAAAATGAAATTTTGTCGCATTTTTTATGGAACCATGCACCCCCGTATCTCACGTAATTATTGAGGTAGGGTTCTGAAATTTGCCGGAGGAAGAGAAAGTCCAAAGATAAAGTCAATTACGTGAGATACGGGGGTGCTTCCATGAAAAATGCGACAAAATTTCATTTTTCCGAACTGAAAATTTTCCAGGAAAAATTTGAATAGTTAGTAAATTGGGCGTCCTGATTCCAAATCTGAAGTGATTTTCGACCTATTTTGACTCCTAATATCATTTTCCGGAAATTGGGGTAGTTTCATGGCTGTTGGCGAGCAGTGTATATCACTGAAGATGACCCCACTTGGTCATAGAGTGCATT